GAATCCATTACATTCACTTACATGAATACTAATACCCTTTGGAAAGCTATGAATCCGGGAGAAAAAGAGGATTCAAAGCCTTTGATGGCAACTGCAGAAAGAAATGGCAGCATACTACGAAAAAAAATCTGCCTCGAAAGATACATGATCGCCTAAGCGTGTATCACGCATGGCACATCACTGACTGACTGATTAGGAAAATAAACATGAATAAAAATGAATACAATACATTATCAAATAACTCTAAACATATCAAATTACAATACCGTAATCAAATGCATTCTAACTATAAACAGGAAGAAAAATTTAAAAAAAAAACCACAGACACTAATGTATCCGCCACTGATCCAAGTAAAAAAAGCGAGGTTGGTTGTATACTATACTAAATTTAATACAACTAATCTAGTGATCAAAAACAAGTCTTCTCCTTCAACTAGCATCTTACAAAAGGCCAACATTTTATATCAATTTAAATGTCCTTTGGCAGATTGCATTTATGATAAAAATATTAATATGTATGTTGGTTTTACAACGATGATGCTGTCGAAAAGGCTTACATTTCACTTGGATAAGCATAGTTCAATCTTGCACCATTGAAAGGAACCCTCATGTTCACATTCACGCTTTAGACAGATATTAGTAGAACATCATTAACGTAATAATAAGCAAAACTTAAAAATCCATACACACACACACACACACACACACACACATATATATATATATATATATATATATATTAATTAGTACATATACGCGTACCTACGTTTATATATGTATTAGTACATTTGAAAACGTTTCCCTTCACTTGGTGTTTTCTGTTTTACAGCATATCACTCTTTATTATCATTATTATTATTTTAGGGGTGATATCGGCCCTGCCACATACATAGACGAGTCTTCAAGGAATTCAAATAAAATATTATATGAACACAAAAGGTTTTATAAAACGATGCACTCAATACTATAGTTTTTCTCTATAATGTCTCTGACCATAATGTCGATATACAAATGCTACTCTATTTAATTTACTAAACCGAAAATGTATAGAAAGTATTCTAATCTCTAGATAATCGACAATAAATTTACGTCCAGTTTCTTACAACATTTCACTTTTCACACTGTGGGATGTTTAATAACAAATTTAAGGAAGACATAAACAAGAAGAAATGAAAGAGTATATACCCAAAACATTTTTTTTTAAATTAATAAAAATTAAAAAATAATTCATTTAAAATTCTCAGCATCTTCTATCTTTTGTGCGCATGTGCATTAACATCAAAGTAAACATTACTATAGGCCAATGAAATTCTAAAGACTGTTCCAGGCGAAAACTTTTTCCACTTTGTCATAGATTTTCCTAAAATTATTGCTGATATATAAAAATTGATATATCGTTTTCCCATATATAACCCCGACTGAGTTGACATTTGGAAAACCGTTCATGAAAGTATGTTTCGAAAATAATATACGATAACGCATTTCGCTTATATGGCTTCATCAGATGGATAACGAAAAATGTGTTGTGTGTGTATACATCTGTGTATGTGTAAAATAATTAAATCTTATATTATTTTTCATATTATATACTCAATTCTTTAGTGCTCAATTAGATCTCATTTAAGTATTCATGGAAACCTACCGGGCACTATTCGTAACATACTTGTAATAACACTAATATAGTAGCATCATAATAATGCAAAAATGGCTAAAAATAATGGAAGCCTTATTAATAAAAACCAAAAAAAATAACACTTAATAATATTAACTTTGAACTATAAAAGCATGGACACAATATCTTGACCTTGTTTTGAAAAATGAAAACATTTTATAAAACATACATACAACAACTATTTCTTATTTAACAGTTAAAATATTTAATCCGTGAAAATGGCTAAATGTATAGCCGAAAGCGCTCAGATAAAAAGAACATTTGAACAGTTTTTATATAATTTATCATCCGAAAAGAAAAAAAAATATTAGATCGCATAAGAAATTGTATAAAAAAACTAAATAAAAGCATCTTGTCTGTCGTATTCAATGAAATGTGCATGAAAGAAGGATTGCTGCCTAAATACACACACAGATATATATATATATATATATATATATATATATATATATATATATATATAACTGCGTATTTGAATAGTAATCTCAGTTATACAGGTTTTATTAAAGGTACTTACTGGTATTCATTTTTCTTATGTTTGTATAAGTAAGTGTTTTCTTCGCCGTATTTATCACAACGCTCCAGCCTTCTTCAGGTCGTTGGAATGTCGAACTGAACCCTTTATTTCGCTCACAGGTAGACTGTTCTAGTTCCATGTTTGATGGATGTCAGTTATCAGTTATCTCCTGCTAATTTCCCTCTGAAAGTTCTCCACTGCCTTAACCGGGTATTGAACTCGCCATGTGTCCTTGAGGACATCTGGGTATGAATTTCTGGGTATTATAAACCTAATGTATTCAGCAACTATTTTTACCAGTGCTGTTTTTTTTTTACCAATTTTGCTGTTATCATTGCATGTTTTTACCAGAGCTCAATGTTGTTATCATTGCTTTTATCTGGCACTCCTTATTACTGGTTCCCATATTGTATTTATTTCTACTCTTGGTCGACTCAGGAGATTTTTGTAGACTAGCATATGTGTTGATTCCTTAAGTTTACGAATTTTCCAATGGTGTTCCTTGTCTATGATCTCAACATGATTCCACAGAGGGCGGTGATCGCCCTTCTCTCTCCATATGTGGTCAGCCACGCCTGATTTTTCTACTTCCCCTCGTGTTACAGCTTTCTGATATTCTTGAAGCCTTACCTTAAGGGGGCGGCCTGTCTCTCCTTTATATTCCTTTCCCCAGCTACACGGGATAGCGTACACAAAATAAAAATAAAAACTTGGATTGTCAATGGGATCACCTCCGAGTGGCATGATGGCATGTATCTTCTTAGAATTTCTCGAATCTGGTCCTTTCTAAAATATTTTGCCCAAACAATAAATATAGTTTCGTTATATTGATGATGCTCTACTTAAATATCCTCGTGATACCGATTTACTTGACCACTAGGTCAAGTAAATCAGTATCATGAAGATATATAAGTATCCTAAGATCAACTAAACAAAGTCGGGCACACAATAGAATTTACATACGAAATGGAAAAACACAATTCCTTAACTTTCCTAGACATCAAACGACACCGCGTTAACAACAATTTAGAACTCGGTGTCCACCGGAAACCAAACAACAAAACTACCTGATAAATTTCTATTCCCATCATAACAACAATATAAAATCCTGCATAATCATCGGATTCTACCTGAGAGCTCTAAGAATGTGCAGCTCGGATTATTTACACGGAGATGAGAAATACATTGAAAACACTTTCAAACTTTCAAGTACTCTAATTATTTTATATTCTATGCGAAACAAAAGGTCCATAAAATATTCCCAAACAAAAAACGGGCCCTCCTGAAAATCCCAATGTATCAAAAATTATCCTACCTACTAATTCTATTACATCGACAATCGAAAAGAATCTATCTAGACGCAACATAAAAGTTGTTACTACTACAGCCAAAACAATAAAAGATTTAGTCAATATTAAACAAAACAATAAGCTAAAACCTGAAGGAGGAGTTTACGCCATCGCCTGTAACAATTGTCACAAAAAATACATAGGAGGAACCTCAAGGAATCTAAAAGATAATATGAACACAAATGTGACATTTTACAAAATAATACATTAAATGCGTTGGTTGCCTACCTTAACGAGACTGACCACAACTTTGACAGAAAAAAATGCTACTCTTATCAAAGGAGAAAATAATTCACTACTACGTCTAGAGAGTGCCTTAATCGCAAGGTCATCTACAGTAGATTTGCGCCTTGGCTCTTACAACACTTTTCACCATTCCTGGCAGATCTTCTATTATCACAATGTGGAATACCTACATAGAAAAGTGATGTAAAGAAAAAGAAAAAGACTAGATGAATTCGGCTGATATAAAAAAAAAAAATTCTAAAATTCACAACACCTCCTGCCTATTTGTAGACCTACTAACATAACAAATTTAGTCCGATGATGTCCTGAAGGACAAAACGCGTCACAAATAAACTTTTTCCACTTCCCCACAACTGTTCTTGATATATAAAAATATATATCGTTATCTCATATACAGTGGCGAACTGGGTCAAACATTTCTACTGAGAAACTTGTGAAAGGGCCCAGTCAAAAGAACTCACTTAATCCTAAAACGTAGTCAAAGGAATCAAATGAAAGTAAACCTTCAAATCTACAAATCAACCATTCGCCCTTGTATGGAATACTACTGCCATATATGGTCTGATGCCCCAGTTGTTCGTCTTAAGGTCCTCGATAAGATCCAGAGACGGATAAGCAATGTAATTGGTCCTGATCTGGCATCTCGTCTTCAGTCGCTCTCTCACAGAGGTGCCGTCGCCTCCCTCTGTCTTTTCTACAAATACTTTCACGGTAACTGCTCCGACGAGCTGCTGTCGCTATTTCCCAAACTGAATGAATTTAAGCGTGCTACTAGGCTGGCATCACGGTCCCACCCTTTCACTGTCGAAACGGTTAAATGTGGCCGTCTCTTCTACTCCAATAGTTTCATGTCTCGCACCTCCCGCCTGAGGAATTCCCTTCCTATTACTTGTTTCCCTGATAGCTATAATCTCCAACTATTCAAATGTAATGTCAATCGACATCTCCATATGCCCTGAACAATTCCCTGCCCTTCTTTCATCCTTTCCTCCATCACACCTCTTTAATCTCGCTCCCACTCTGTACCCCCCCCCCCCGGCGTACTAGTGGAATCCCGCCTTGCTTGGGGTGAAATGCTTAAAAATATATATATTGTTTTATTTATGTTGATGCATGCATAATACAAACACTAGAAAATTTTGATAATTTAATAATAAAAATGAAAATCCCAATCATAGAACAACCAATCTGAGCAAAAGGAAAAATATCCTTAAAAATGAAAAAAAAAATCTTCGTCAAACAAGGAACTGGGGAATATTTATCTACCGAAAAAGATTATTGCATCGAAGAAGACTTATTTAAATCTTCCCAACATCTACGCAATATTTTTCTTTCTTTTGTTTTATAGTTTCTACTTTTTTCATTTATTTCTAAAGCGATGGATCATCACTTTGGGGCCACCGTGAAATTTCCAGGTATCCGGGTGGGCCAGTCCGCCATTGTATTACACAAATATAAATACACAAAAACTGAAATAGTTAGATCGGTACTCGAATACAAAAAGCGGGTGAATAATGAAAAAAATATATTTATCGAAAATTGGTAATTGCTTAGTACGATAAACCTCGCGAGCTGTCTCTTATCCGTTTACACTGTGAAGCCACCCAACCCGTTCAACATTTTGATATGCAGTGCAACACGAAACGAGACATTGATACAACAGACATTAAGCAATAACACTCGCCACAAGTCAATGCACGTCGATACAGCAAAAAGCTGGAATAGGACTTCACAATGCGAAATGCTATTGATATCAAAACAAACTGTATGGCGTTTGGGTTTGCGGAAAATGCTGGTTAACTGGCGAAAGTTTAATTGAAT